GGAATGGGGTGGGTGGAGACTCTGAGACAATGCTGCCTTCCAGCAATTTCTCTCTAAGCCCGGTCTGTTTCTTCCAGATACAGAGACAAGAGAACTCACGGTGGAAAATCTTCAGCTTGGATCTTCAGTAATGAGCCATGGTAAACGATCAGATATGGCATATATTTAAAAGCAGCAAGGAGGTACAGATCTGCACTATGGCTTCCAGCCAGCCCATTTACAGGACAGGGAGAGAACAGGAGGGTTCTGAAGGTGGTGAACGTCTCCAGGGAAGATCAGGATGGCCATGGGGACCTCCTTCACAGCTGGCTTCTTTATTCCCCCCTGGCTGACCCAGGAGTCTGCTCCCTTGGGCAGAGGGTGCTCTCTGACAGCTGCAGGTGTCTGCAGATGCCTTCTCCTTCTGGGGGAAATGCTCCTGACCCTGTTGTGGCCCACCCTGGCTGTCCTCAGACACACAGCTCAACCCTGGGGAGGCTGTGAAGCAAGGGCTGGCCAAGGAGGAGGAATCATCTCTTCTGAGTCCTGCACCTTCTGACCCTGCACAGTACTCTTGAGGAAAAAGGCTTGGCCCCTAAGTGGCCCTTTCTCTTGCTGCAGGCTTCCAAAGCCCTCCTGACTGCTGCTTCTCCTACACCCCACGAAGCATCCGGTGTTCAATCATGGAAGATTATTTTGTAACGAGCAGTGGGTGCTCCCAGCCAGCTGTCATGTAAGTGCCAAGCTCACCGACCATGTGCTGGGGAGAGGGAGGCTGCAGGGTCTTGCAGGGAGGACCTGATGGGTGGGTGTCCAGAAAAGTCCCACCCTCTGCATCCTGCCAGGTAAGGGGCAGCTTGTGTGCTTACTAGGACCCTGTGGGGTACCGGGGATGAGATGGCCCCAGCGGAGAGAAGGGTAGGGAAGGAAGAAGGGAGCAGACACAAGGCTGCCCAAGGACACGCCCATGAGTCACTAGAGGGTCTCACAGGCTGAGGGAGGGCCTCACGGGGACAGTGGCTGTGAGCTGCCACCAGCAGAGAATGGGAAGAACAGGCTGTTTCAAATGGGGAATCCAAGGGGCAGGGAGGATGGGGCTCCCCTTCTTTATTTGCTGAAAACACCTCAGTGTGTGATCTTTCTCCCCTTGTCCACAGCTTCCGCACCAAGAAAGGGCAACGTGTCTGTGCCAACCCCAGTGACAGTCAAGTTCAGGACTGCATAACAAAGCTGAAGCTGAACTCAAATATCAAGGGCCCAGTAATAATGACACTTGTTGACAAGATGGGACACTAGTTTCCAGACAACCCACCTCCAGCTCTCTTGCCCCAACTCCCTTATGAGCATCTCTTGACCTGAATTATTTTTTAAAAAACAACATTTATTCTTCTGTTCTGGTTTTAAAGCAATACATCCAATAAAGAATATCTAATTTGCTTTGCTTGAATTTTAAGAGAAAAAAGAAACCGAAGGAATTATCGAACTTTAGATAAGTGTTGTCTTCAAAACAAGAGACATAGTGTAATTTCTTAAAAACCAAAAAGATGACTCATTCAGATTTAGATTGAATATGTGTCAAAGATGTGTTTAACCCATTGGTGAGGGGACCATTAAAATAATTCAAAGATCTTTTGAGAAACAGACATTTGTATAGTTAATTGGGGGCGATATTCTGAAATAAATTTGCTAAATTAGAGCTCACATTAATATCCTGTGTATACGACAGTAATAAAACTATAACCTTTTGGGTTAATCTTTTCTAGTGAACAGAAATCATTTGCATCTGTGCTAGACAAAAATCTACAAGTTAGCATGTAATTTCATAATGTCTAGGACCTAATCAATAGTAAATAGAATATCAATCAAAAGCACATT